ACCTAGACACAGGAGAACTATTGTCGTGAAAGTGTTGTACAATCGATTACGAATTTAGATTGCAGAGAGTTTGTTCTGAGCGCTAAAGGCACTCACGATAGAGCACATTTTGCTTTATTCTAACACACTGAAGAGAAATGTCCTTGATTAGTGAAGGACTTGACTTGATCAAACCACTTGTGTCCTCTTGGCACTGCTGACCATTGAAGGTTAACTTTGGCCAGCAATGCAATGCTCACTCTCTCATCCGTCCAACACTTGAAGAGCCCTTTCTGCTTCTCATGTGTCATGGGAAATGGAAGCCCCTGAACATTTTGAAAAAGGACCGGGTAACTCGAGGAGACTTCTGGCATGAGTCATTGCCAAAGTAGTTACCGGGAGGAAGAGAGTTTAAATAAGCATCCAGCGAGAAGTGGGCCACCTGGCTGGATGTGTGTTGGTTGCGTAGATTTTGACCCCGGCCTTCCGTCAAACGCCGCAACCTTGCGTGACGGGACCGTTGGTGGTTAGGGACCACCGCCGGGGGGGGCACCCCCACTGTCAGCCGATGATGTTGCCTTGCTGGAGGAGGGGCTTGACGAACGGTGCTTGCCTGTGACCGATGCTTGTTCCGCCATTTTGGCCTCCAATTCAAGGATACGGGCATCCTTGGCAGCCTCCGCATCCTTAGCTTGAGCCAGTTCTTCTGCCGCAGTCTCTAATTCCGTGCAAACGTCGTTGACATCCGCTTTCATGTTCTTCAATAGTGCTGCCATATTTGCCGCGCTTCCTACTGTAGCCCTGTCATCCATATCCTTTGCAGCTGGCATCGACAGGTCAATCGTGATGGTGCCCTCAAATTCCGGAGAAGCCTGCTCTGTCGCGAGGAGCTTCTCAATCCACTCATTATCATCCTTCTCCACTTGCTGGTCCAAATCGACGTCCCGCTCATACTCCGAGATTGCACGATGTTGGCTTTGGTCCCAGGTCATAGCGTTGGTAACCGTTGGATTACAGTGGTCCAAGCAGAGCCAGGTGCGGCAGGTCTTCCTCTGGTGCTTCAGGTCCTGCCATAACTCAAGGTGAGAAATAAGGAAGGCCGCCAGGTTCTTGAGAACTTCCTGTGCCAATGAGGCAAACTTTTGGCGCACCACAAACATATAGAAGCCATTGATTGGGCCTGGTAGGATCGTTTGGAAGAGGCCGGCTGGGCCCTGGTTAAGTTCCGCATCGATGCTTCCCTGTGACCGATGCTTGTTCAGCCATTTTGGCCAATCTATATCCACACGAAAAGGGAAAGACCCAATACAAGTGGAATATTGATGTTGTGTACGATGCAGTAAGAATAATACAAAATCCTCATATAAGTCGAATCGAGTTCTGTAAACAAGGGATTTTCCAAGGGAAAATTGTTGAACTCACTTTTGTGATTGAATCATCAATTCAAGCCAAACATTAATCAAATAGGAACAATTTCACTCAAAGTATACCTAACACAGGAGAACTATTGTTGTGAAAGTGTTGTACAGCCGATTACGAATTTAGATTGCAGAGAGTTTGTTCTGAGCGCTAAAAGCACTCACGATAGAGCACATTTTGCTTTAATCTAACAAGGTTGCTTGACCTCAGGAGTGCATTGAATCGCATACAGGAATTGGAGGAGGGACTTGCCCTTAGTACCCTGCTTGCAGTACTTGGGGATGAACACCTTTGTCAGCATACCTTGAAGAGGAAACAATGGAGCCAGGGAGGTACCCGTTGGCGCAGTGTGCACTGCTTATGTTTGTTTTTGTTCATCACTCTGCAAACCTTCCTGTACTTGTATAGTACCAGTATTACCAGTATAATACCAGTATAGTACCAGTATAGCACTAAGTATAGTGCTAGTATAGTACCGGTATAGTACCAGTATAGTACCAGCATAGTACCAGTATAGTACCAGTATAGTAGTACCGGTATCTAGATTTGCACATGGGGGATGGCTCAAAAGTAGGTTTTTTATGGGGGACGGACAAACAAGTACTTCCTAAGTCTAAAACAGATGAAAACGGAACTTCAGAATCTACCATTACGAGTTCTCAAAATCCCCCCAAAGTGACTGTTGATATACAAGGAACCAAGTCAGATTCCTGTGCGTAGGATTCGGTTGTTCTTACTGGAAATCCCGTACTATTACTTGTACGTACCTTTTACCACAAAAATCTGTAGGGCCAAAAGTATGATGACTAAAATCTATAGGGCCGGAAGTATAATCTATTTCCAAGTCTCATAAACGCTACAGCACTTCGAAGTCAGCAGAATATATTGTGCTGAGTTGCAGCTCTAGATATTTGGAATGGATACACGCAGGGCACAGACAGGATGCAGGCTGAGGGACCGATTCAACGTTGAGTTTGAGTGGTAGTGATGCAAATGCTGTTACTGTACCTGTCAGAATGAAGTTTCGCAGATGTTTTGTTGGGAAGTTATAGTCTATATACAGTTCCCCACTATCAACAATCAGCCTCTTGGAATATATGTTCTTGATCTGAGACGCTTCGTGTTGTTGTTGTTGTTGTTGTTGTTGTTGTTGTTGTTGTTGTTGTTGTTGTTGTTGTTGTTGTTGTTGTTGTTGTTGTTGTTGTTGTTGTTGTTGTTGTTGTTGTTGTTGTTGTTGTTGTTGTTGTTGTTGTTGTTGTTGTATTCCCCGCTTGAAACATGACAGTCTCTCACGTTTCAAACATGGTATTCCCCGCTTGAAACATGGTATTCCCCGCTTGAAACATCGTATAATCCCGTCAAACATGACACTCCCTTTTTTCAATCATGATATTCCCTTGTTTCAAACATGATATTCGTTTATCTCCCTACTGTATGATATCAAATAAGACATCCTCCAAGACAAAAACATCGACAACAACATCAAGCGTCTCAAATCAACAAAAACCAAAATACATTAAACTAGAGCTCTATTTAATAACAAATACTTATCTGTTCTAGGAGTAGCTTCATTTATAATCTTGGTCTGCATATCCTTACAACTGCTGCCCCTCCTGTTTCCCCATGTGGGGGGTACAGTATCGTACTTTTATACCGGTACATATTTGTATCGTATCGGTATAGTACTGCACGAACCTACGATACATACTTTTGCCCAGAGTTCTTTTGTCTTTTCGGGGTAATCCCACTTTATATGCGATCCCCCATATTCGAATATAGTATGTCTTTCTAATGCCTCTTTTTGTACGAATGCGATTTTCGTACTGTACGATACGACTGAGTGAAGCCCGACCAGTCATCGTCAAACGTCAAAACAACAGATAGAAAGAATTTGAAAGGATGGCAGATGAAGATGAGCATATGCAAGATGATGTCGATATCGAGGAAAGTGACGAGGATCCCGATGAAGACGGCGACGAGGGAATGATGGATGATGCACCGATGCAGCAACCGGAACCCGTTGAGGAAGATGGTGCCATCGCTAGACGTCGGGCAATTCAAGCCATTATGCGTGATCAATCAACCAGCGATCAGGACAAGCGTTTGCAAATCCAGGCATTGATGAGTGGTGGTAGAACAGAGGTCGCGCCACCACCATCACCAGTATTACCGGAAAACAATGCATCGTGTGTCCACTACGAACGAAATTGCAACATTGTTGCACCATGCTGCATCCGCGTATATGGATGTAGAATTTGTCATGACGAACTAAGTCCAGCGGGTCACGCAGCTATGAACCGATTCCTTGTGAGTCAAGTGGTCTGCAAGTTGTGCAATACTACGCAACAGACATCGTAAGTACAGGATTCTTTTGATTCACGTCGAATGACTGTTTTTCCTCACTTTTTTGTCGTGGCGTGACCATCAGCAATCAATGTATCAACTGCAAAACCATTTTTGGCGAGTACCATTGCAGCACCTGCAATCTTTGGATGTCACAGGTATGTGAATTGTATTTGTTTTGTGCCAATCTTCAATCAACTAACGAACACTCGTCAGTCCAAAAAGCCTTTCCATTGCGCAAAATGTGGGTTTTGTCGAGTAGGGGGCGCTGACGCATTTCGCCACTGTGACGAATGTTGTATGTGTATATCCATTGGTGTATATGCGGATCACCAATGCTTCAAGGATAAATACAAGAATAATTGCCCTGTGTGTAGAGAAGACATGTTCTCGTCACGGCAATCTCCTCAGGATCTTCCCTGTGGCCACGCTATACACGCTCACTGTTTTCGAAAACTGGCTGGTTTTGATTATAGATGCCCCATTTGCAAAAAGACCGTCGTCTCACCCCAATCAATGGCAGCTGCATGGGATGCAAGGGCACGGGATATCGCAGAGCACCCGATGCCTGCGGATCTTCAAAGAATTGTCGATATTATGTGCAATGATTGCGAGACGAAAAGTCATGGCCTGAATTGGCATTTTCTTGGCATCCAATGCCCAAACTGTAACTCTTTCAATACAGTTGTGGAGCAGGTTCTCAGTTCTGGGGCGGATGGCAACACAAACGGGGCAAACCAAAACCAAAACCTAGGTAACGGTTCCGGTACGTAGTGGCCGTCACGTGGGAAGCAACACTGTTAGTCTGAAGAGACGAAGTTTTAGAGATGTTAATTTTTCCACCACTCTAAGATCCGATTTCTGCGCCTTTGTTGTTCCGAAGTTTCGCATCTTGTTTCGCCTATGTTGTAACGACGAGCGAAGTGCTGCGTAGTAGATAGAACTGTTCACTTAAATTCGACTTACGCGTATGGCGCTCTACCTAATGCTACTACCAGCTTTTGCGCTCTTTTGTGAAGATCAATCCCACCCCGCAAAAAGTCTACCTCCCAGCACCACCTCCCGTTCGTCTTCCAGGCTTTCTCCCAAGCTGAAATTGCTCCTGGAAACTCAATCCGTCGTCAAGCTGACTTGCAGTATCCTCGCCAGGTTTGGTCATTTCCTCTACCAGCTCTTCAGCTTCGCCAATTGCATTCAACACTTGGCGTTTGTTACTCTCGCACAACATGCCACCAATGAACATTTCAAAAAGAATGAGAAGAGACTTATGCAAAGAAAATACTAGGTCTAATTCGCAAACTGAAAAGAAGGTAAGTCGACCAGTCGATACATTCGGCATCAACAATAAATATCAAAACACACCTGAGTTGAAATATCCGTCTAGTGCTTCCACGAAAAGGTGGATTTGTTCCAGTACAATCAGTTCGTTCATTCCCAACGGAACACCAACAACGAAGTAAAGACTAGCATAACGTCTGTAAACAAACTTGTAAGATCCCTTTTCAATGATGTTACACATTTTCGGAGCACGAGGCAATATATCAGCTGCAATGTCTCTAAGGATTCGCCTTTTCTCATTTTCTGTGTAACTGGAAAAGAATTCGCTCAAGCGAATTTTTCCCTGGCGGCTCATCAGCACAATGAAGTTCCATCCGACTTGTGTGTGCGCAGCATTTGTTTCCTCTGGTTGGTCCATCTTCGAACAATGACTGTTTCGGATATTTCAAATTTGTATGGAGATGGTCCATCTGAGCGAGCGACGAAAATGAGACGATTCGTTCGATTCTTTTCAAAAGAGCTCTTAGTGCAGGTGCAAATTTTAGTGGGTTTTCAGCCAATGAGAGTTAGTCAAATCACTAAAATCAACCCATTTTTAGTGGTCTGAACCAATCACAGCGGGCCATTCACTAAAAATAGACAATCTCCACTAAGTTAGTACTCGTCATTACTTGCAAATGATGATTATAGGGGGATGGTACCTGGTACCGTAGGCCCAGGCTAGATACGGCCCTGCCACTCTGCCATTGTATTATAAAGCACTGTCGCACCTTGTTTTAATGACTCACCTTACCACTGGATTACGAGCTAGCGATACAGTTACCCTATGATCACTTCTAGCTGCTCTGAAGAACGGGTGTGGCAGCCACCAAACCGAATTGACAAGCGCTACAGCATGAGGTGACGGATACGCCCATCGGTAGAAACTTCGTTTTCAATCTTCTATTTATATTATAGATTAATTTCTATCGTTTCAGTGTCACTTATGGTAGCATGCCCCTGTAAGAAACTGATAACAACTGCCATAGTTGCTAGTAGTAGGTGTCACTTCACCTTTGGAATCTAATAATTGTTTCAATTCAGTGCACCAAGGCCTTGTTGATTGTTTTCTCGTCAGAATAAACCCATCCCCTATGACCATACGGTAGTAAACTGTCTTAGCGCGGCCTTATGGTGGCAACTTGGCCATCAAGGAACCCAGCAAGAGTTTGCCTCTGTTTACGCCTTTGAATCTTACTAAAAAAAACGGTTGATTATTGCATGTTTTCAATGATGTAATACACATGTAGCCTCTTTGGCGACGAGCTGGAGCCTGGAGTTGGTCCTTCCTCATCTTTCTTGGTTCCCGAAATATTCGCGACCTAAAATTCAGAGTGCGATAAACCTCTGATTTCTGATTGGATCTGCGATATGAAGGCATAGATGATGTTATTAGTGGTGCTCGAACGTCATTTCAAAAGTTTCAGAGCCATCGGTCGACATACATCAAACAATCATTGTTACCTTGTTCAAAATCCGTCAAAATCCTGGCTAGAGCCAGGATCATACAGTATATCGCCTTGCGACGCTATGCATGAGGCCAGTGCTGTGTTGTAAAGACACTTTATTGCAATCCTGTTGCTTTCTCCTCTTTTCTTTTCTTTTCTCTTCGTTTTCTTTTCTTTCCTTTTTCTTCCTCTTCCCCCTTCTTTTTCCCCGGAGCATAATATAAAGTAATTACATAGATGCTGGCGTCAGCGGTGACTGGCAAGTACCATGCTGGCAGTGCTTTTCTTGGGGGATACCCCCCCAAACCCCCCCGGCAATACAACTACTGTACTTGTAGGCTTACCTTTCTTTCACACATGCACACATGCCTCCCGGCGGGCCCTCCCGGGAACGTAATTCAATTCTGAGGTCGATTTTGTGGTGTGATTCGTGCAGTTACGCATCTTCTGAAAATGTACTTTTATGTTGTGATTCATGAAACCGCATGTGTAAAATCTTAAGTGTTTGATTTTACGAAATGTACTTTTATCGTGTGATTCGATGTCAAATGCAGAGCCCCCCGGATGACACGCAAGTTCTACGAAGCGTTTGGTAAGAAGCCAAAAAGAAGGGAACTCCCTGGCTTCCAATCAAAACGGACACGGAGATAAAGCCACCAGGCCCATCACGTAAAAATGTCAGTACGCGCCAGCCGAATACTTCTTCGATCGCCAGCCAGTACGTGTCACGGAGGCAACCATATCATGAAACCGAACAGCCCGCGCGAAGCGGGCGTTACGGATTAAGAAAATCTTTCAACGACAATTCGCGGTTAATTAACCGCGAATTGAAAAATTCGCGGTAAATTTAACAGCGAATTCTAAAATCGAGGTAAATTTAACAGCGAATTTTTCAATTCGCGGTTATTTAGTAGCGAATTCTAAATTCGCGGTTAATTGAACCGCGAATTGAGTTATGTAGAATCACTCTCATTTCTTCCTCCATACAACAATACCATGCAATAGAATGTTTTGTTCCTCAATCACAGGGTTTCTTCCTATGTTTGGATTGGGAAAGCTGTCCTCTTGAGAGTCTCTAGAGAGAGGAAAAGCAGCTGTTCCAATAGTGAAAATACAAGTGTAAATAGTCTCCTTTAGCATCAATACTACGTTATAGATCTATGATTCTACCCCTTGACTTTGAGAGCGTGCAAGTACTTTCCTGTTCTATTCTCCTGGTAGTTGCATTCCCTGAAAATATTCAAAGAAAACTCCTTGCAATACTGTTTTCGTTAAGAACGCCATAGATCTTGTTATCTTACAGGAGGCTTATCTTTTCCATCCTCGTCCATAGCTTGACGCAGAAGCTTCTGGGCATCCGATCGTTGTCAATGAATATTTTGTAGTAGCTTTGAAAGGATGTTACTGGATGGTTGTCGACGAACTGTTTGACATGAGCCTAGTGGTCCTCGACGACTCCTCTGCTGATCTTCTGGTTTTCTTGCTTCTGCAGCGCTCTCAGTCTATCAGCAAAATATTCGAAATCACCTTGTTCCACTTCCTATTTTTCTCGCCGCTCATGTCACACACCTTCTTCAAGATGACTTTTGGAGTCAACATTTCCCCATCGAGTGGAATGGGCGACTCCAGGAGCAGCGGTGTGCAAGAGATCCCATAGAATTTCTTTTGCCCTGCTGATTTTTCGTCCCATCTTATGCTCCAAGATATTGTTCGCCTTTTTAAAACTTCTGAGCCTGGTAGCAAGTTTCTTGGGATCCCACTTTTCCGATCTCCCTTCGTACCTGTACCTGGTAGACTCCTCGCCCATTTCGCAAATCATTTTCAGATGACTTTTGGAATCATGTTGTTCCCTTCATCGTCTACTTCTTTCCTTCATCATCTACGGCTTCTCTATCGGGCGACAGATCCCCGGTAGTTCCTGGATGATTTGTTTTGCCCTGCTGATCTTCCAGGGCGTCTCAGGCTCCACAAACACCATTGATGGATTTGTTTGGTTTTGTTGATGAAGTTTTAGAATATTATGAATTCGCGGTTAAAGCAACGGCGCTTTTTCAATTTGCGGTTATCACAACGGCGAAATAGCCGCGAATTTTTCAATTCGCGGTTAAATAGCCGCAAATTTTTCAATTCGCTGTTAAATTTTGGAGTGTTCGCGGATAGACCGAACATTGCGGGTAGCACCATCATGTGTCCAACACGACCCGTTCGATTTGAAGGAGGCTTGACCAGCTCGCACAGGAATGTCTTGGCAGGCGCGCCACTACGTTTTTTGCGTGATGGGCCAGTGTTAGCTACGAGATTTGTACATTGAAAACTGTATTTTCGGGAAAAGTTTTGGGAAGCCGTTGCTAAGTAAAATATCTTCCACGCAAGAGCGCTGAGTAAAAGCAACGCAAATCTTAGATTAATGTTTGGCTTGAATTGATGATTCAATCAAAAAAATGAGTTCAACAATTTTCCTTTGGAAAATCCCTTGTTTACAGAACTTGATTCGACATCTACGAGGATTCTGTGTTGAATGCAGTACTTTGGGACATCTTGTATTATTCCCTACTGTATCGTACACAACATTGATATTCCACTTGTATCGGGTCTTTCCCTTTTCGTGTGGATATAGATTGTCCGGCAGACTTGCGTCGAATCCTGACATCACGATCAAAATCCGATCGTGCGTGTCAAAAACTTTGTACTTGAATAGTTTTTCTTGGAACGTAAAAACTCGTATTTTGTCATATCCCAACACACTCCTGCCATTGTGACAATCACCATTGGCAGCAATGGGACATGCTCTCATTCACTGTTTATTCTGTTTTGTATTTTCATTTGAACATATACATACTTGTCTGACCTAGTCCTGTGGACCAAGAATCAGATGATCCCTGAACTTGCAAAACTTATACCTTGCAATGGTTTAGTCATGAAATCCACAGACTTGCGTCGAATCCCGACATCACGCACGATCAAAGTCCGATCGCACGTGTCAAAAACCTCGTACTTGTATAGTTTCGTTTGGAACGTAAAAACTCATATTTTGTCATATCCCAACACACTCCTGCCATTGTGACAATCACCATTGGCAGCAATGGGACATGCTCTCATTCACTGTTTACTTTTGTTTTGTATTTTCATTTGAACATATACATACTTGTCTGACCTAGTCCTGTGGACCAAGAATCAGATCCCTGAACTTGC